TCTACGATTCATGAGTTAGATCAGATCTTAGCCCGCTATTTTTGGAGCTATGGCGAGGGCTCACGCGGTCGGCGGCAGACCCACTGGGTGAAGTGGGACTCCATCTGTCGTCCCCACCCTGAGGGTGGGCTCGGGATTCGGCGTTTCTCTGATATGGTTACTGCGTTTTCCTACAGGATGTGGTGGCGCCTTAGGGAGGGCAAGTCCCTTTGGGCCCAATACCTCCTGAGGAAATATTGCCCTGGTGGTGCTGCTCATCCCTGCAGGGTGACAGCCACCGCTCGGGATAGTCGACAGTGGAGACGTCTCACCATTGTTGGCAGGCGTGCTCAGGAGCACATTTTTTGGATCTTGGGTTCTGGGGAGGTTAGCTTCTGGGATGAGTGGTGGTTCGGCGAGGCCCCTCTCTCGAGCACTAGGCCTGTCACTCACCTGCCTTTTATGCAGGTGAAGGACCTTTGGACGGGAGGGTTTTGGGATAGAGATAAGATGGAGGATATTCTTGGTGAGGGTGGGGGTTTTAGTAGTCTAGAGATTGACCAGATCCGACAGATTCCCATTATGGAGGGAGGTTTGGATGGCATGAGGTGGAGACTTACATCTTCGGGTGCATTCTCTATGTCTTCAGCCTGGGGAGAAGTGAGGTTGGGCAACCGAACAAACCGCCTCTTCGGGGCCATATGGACTGACCTTCTCACCCCGACCATTTCTGTCTTTTTGTGGCGCCTCCTATTACAGTGGATTCCCATTGACACTGTGATGCAGGCGAGAGGGTTCTCCTTCCCCTCCCGCTGCCATTGTTGTGCTGATATCGGTACCTTTGAGATCGAGACTTTCGCCCATCGTTTCCTTGAGAGTGAGACTGTGAGGAGAGTGTGGGAGCACTATACCAGATATACTCATATACCCCTACCCACTACAAACAGTTTTTTTGAGCTTCTGAGTTTTTTTTTACACCGCACACACAGTAGACACGTGGGCTTCCTTATTCCTTGTCTGATCCTATAGGCCACTTGGACAGATAGGAATAATGCGAAGCATAGGGATATTATATTTTCTTATGCTCACATTATTTTGCAGGTTGACAGACACCTCTCTCTTCTCACCGCCCTGGGTAGACTCAGGACGAGAGACTGGACAGGGTGTACACCGCCCCATCGTTTGAGGCCACCTCCTCCTTTACCTGTCCAGCATCCACGACCCAGGACCGTTGTTTGGCTGAAACCCAAGGCCCCTTGGGTTAAGCTAAACACTGATGGCGCTTTCGACAGACATACCGAAGATGCTGGAGGAGGGGGCCTGATTAGGGATCATGATGGGGCACTCATCTCTGCCTTCCATGGGCCACTCCGGGCCTCCTCGAGTTATGATGCAGAGATTCAGGCGCTCCAGATTGGCCTCGAGATTGCCGCCTCGATCTCCTCTCATGTCTGGATAGAGATGGATGTTGTGGCTGTCATCACACTTTTGACATCTGGCCATCAGGGCTCATGGCAGATCCAGCATCCTCTTATGCGTATCAGAGACACCCTCCGCTCGATCCATTACCATGTCTCACACATATTCCGGGAGGGGAATCGGCCTGCTGATTTCCTTGCTAGCACGGGGGCTTCTATACCCCAGAGACGCACCCTTCTTCCTGAGGACATTCCCCTCCGGCTTCGGACGCTCATTCGGATGGACCAGTTAGAGTACCCATCCTTCAGATTCGGTCGACCGCCACCACCTGCCCCTGACTAGTTTTGACATTTTGGACTCCATGACAGGTCACCCTGACCAAGACGACCTTTTTTTTTGAGGTTTTGATTTTAGATCCACATCGGTTTTTCTTTTGTGATCCTTGTATTTTATTCTTTATTTTTATTTTCTCTACTTTTGATGTTGCTTTATGTATTTCCGACTTGGATGTAGACCATTGACTCTTTAGCCCTAGCTGGGCCATTATATTCACAGGTCGGGGGTATAGCCTCAACCCCCCATCCCATTTTGGGATGTTTATTTCGTAAAAAAAAAAAAAAAGAATATATTTGTCGGCCGTAATTTATTCTCATCAGCTCTGCCACTCCACCAAGATATGAACCCTCGCAAAACGAACCACCAAAGTGCACCAATACTCTAACACGGTTGCTAGTCATTCAAATAAGTGAACAACAAAAAGAACTAAAAAAAAAAGAAACAGAAAAATGCAGTAGATGAATGGTGCATGCGTTAAATTGTTAGAGATCACTGTTTTTGTGCCTGCATGATAAATGCAGAGACCAAATCCTCACCTGTGAAAAAGCAGTCAATTAATGAGGTGCGCAACCTATGCGAAAGATCTGCGAAAGAATTCTGAATAGTCGTAAAATTGCCAGGTCGATATGGCCCTGTGAAAAAATGGCGCATAATCGTCAAAAAAAATATGCTTTATTCGATTTGGTTATGCGATTCTTAAATATGCGAGCGAAAAAATTGTCACATACTTGTCAATTATCCGGAGGATATATGCCAAATTGTTTCGCATATTTAGTAAATTATGCGATTGACTTGGATATGCAATTACCAGAAAATGCTTATTCAACAAACTATGCGAATTAGATGCGAAATATTTTCGCAGTCATAAATTTGCAAGGTTGATATAACCCTGCGAAAAGAAGACGCATAATCATCGTAAATTATGCTGCAAATCGATTTGTATATGCGATTACTAAAAATGCAAAAGATGTTCACACATTTATAAATTATGCGTTTGATGTGGATATGCGATTAAAAAAATGCGAAATGTTTACGCATAGTCATAAATTATGCGGCCGATTGGATATGCGCTGGTTCCTTTGGACATGCGAGTGTAATATCGCATAACATTTCGTGAGTTTTGGGGTGTAAAAGAAGTTATTTGATGGGGCGGTGTGAAAAAGAAAGAATAGATTTATAACGGGATAGAAAAAAATTTTGACCCCCTATTTTAATTATGTTTGATTTTTTTTGGTATGATTGATTTTGAAAAAAAAAAATGGTGTGTTCGTTGAATTTTTAGTCAAAATAATATTTAAAATAAAATAATTAAAGTTAATTTGATGTAAAAGTAGGGGAGAGATGATGTAAAGTGATTGTTAGTTAAAATTATGTAAGCGGATGAATAGTGAATTAGAGTTTATGTAATGTGTAAAATGATTTGTGTATTATTTAATTATATAGATAATAATGAGATTGAGATGCAATGTGTAAAAATGATTGAATTTGTTATTTAATTATATTAAAAATGTCAAGGATAGTTAGATTGAGTTAAAATTAAATTAAAAATATTAAAGGTAAAAATATTAGGAATTTTTTTAGAAAAATATGTATGAAGAAATCCTTACCATATACTACCTCCTATTCAAAATAAATGTCGTTTTGACTTTTTTGATTCATCCATTTTGCTATGTATTTAGACATAAATATGTCTAGGTACATAGCAAAATGGATGAATCAAAAAAGTCAAAACGACATTTATTTTGAATAGGAGGGAGTATAAAACGTGTTATGTTCCGTGAATGTATTCCATATACAAAAAGCCGTCCAGATTCAATGTACATTTTGCCTCTGCCTGCAAGTGTAGACACACGTAGCATTGCGTCACCGCTCACAAATGAATTCATTTCCATCCTTTTCATTGTTAATATTAAGATGAGAAAAAAAGGATCAAAATTAACAGTTTGAAAATTACAATTTTTCTTCTGAATTCTAACATTACGATTAGTCAAAATTATGCTAAATTGGAAGTTGGAATTGGAGTAAAATTTATATTAAAAAAATAGATTAATAAGGTTATGTTCGACCGACAAATAAACTAACTTATAGCTTACTGAGTTAATTTATAAGTTTCCTATATTTAAATAAAGATTCGTCTCGTAGGAAGGATGAATTTTTTCAAAAATTGATAAACTTCTTTCGGTAGCTTCAAATAAGTCCGTTGAAACTTTTATTTCAGTTAGCTCATCAACTAATTTTACCAAGCAATTTAATCATATAAGCTAGCTTTTAAACTCTAAATAATAAACTATAAGATATAAGCTTCATAAACTATCAATTAATTTCTCAACTGTCAGCTAACTTATCAACTAATTTTCCTAAACATCCTCCCTATATATAATTCAAGAATGCGTTGAGCCTACGTGGCTGCTTCTTGTGCTTCGTATTTGGCGAAAAATCATGCTTCGTAATTAGGTTTGGATGAATAATATTGATATATTAATAATTAATAATCTAAGTTCGGGTATTCCATAAATATTATTTAGCTAACTTAGGTATTTTAATATCACTTTTACTAATATATATAACCCTTTAATATTTTGTCATTTTACATAGTGAGGCACTAAGTGACTAATATATCCCTGAATTTTGATTTGTTTCCTTCAATAAGCTATTGAATTATACATGTATTTTGAAAGTTGATAACTTTTGTATTTTTTATCGATTTTACATATATAATATATCAAATTAATCATCTTTTGATGATCTTCGATTTGACATCCATATTGTATACGTGAAATAAATAAATTATATTTATCTTTATAATAAAAAAAAATAATATTTATTAAAATTCATTAGAAAAATAAAATTATTTCTCAATTGATATATTTATATGTAATGTAGTTATATATTGTAAGTTAAAAAAAATTAGTATAAAAGTCGCACAAATAAAAAGTGTCATAATAAATATATAATAATATATATATTCTTATAAAAGGTATTTAAATTTTCAAACTACCTTTTTCTTATTAATTTTAGATATGAAGAAAAAAATTAGCAAACACCCGTGTAATACACGGGTGCTGTACTAGTAGATATATATTTAAAGATTTCTATGATTTCTCTTGCCATAATTACATAAACCACGAGCATTTTAGAGTTGTAATAATATTTTTCTTTGTAATAGTAAAAGAATATTATTATGCCCATTTACAGCAGCTGCTCACTCTCCTATTCAGAACTTCAGTAGACCAAAAAACTACACACCCAAGTGGCCAGCTCCCAACATGGCTTCCGAGGGTTTCCGGCCGCTCGACGAGAAGTTACTGGTGGAGTACGTCAAGAAAACGCCATCTCTGGCCGCGAAGCTGGGTGATCAGTTCGACAATCTCGAAATCAGAGAAGTAGGCGATGGAAATCTCAACTTCGTCTATATTGTAATTGGTCCATCGGGATCCTTCGTCGTCAAACAGGTAGACACACGCACCTTTGGCTTCAAATGGATTTTTATTTTCCTTTTCTTTTGGAAGCCCTTAGGTTTTATTCTCTCGTCTGGGCATAATCTGGTGATTAACTGCTTGATTACTTTAAATGTTTGTTGTTAAGTATAATTACTGGTCTGTTGAGGCCAATTTTAGCATTCCTTGGGTACTGCTGTGGCGTTTCAAAAATTGGTTTGACATACAAGTCATTGAAAAGGTTTTTGATCTGGAGAGCTATATGTTATAGGTTTCTTTGTTTGGCTTTTTCTGGAGGTGCAAGTGATAATGTAAGTTTAGCTGTGTTGTTTCTTTCTTTCTAAAGTAGGCAATAATCGAGCAGATTTTGAAATCTGGTAGAAATCTGTGAGAAGGGCCTATGTCTTATGTGTGGAGTAAATGGGGGAGGTATTTAGGCTCGACATTATTTAGATTTCGTTTCGTAGATGTGGGTAATTTCTGTTTATTCGCTTGCAAGAACTGTATCACCAAGCAGTTCAATAACTCTCTTGGCAACTTCTTAAGAATAATGCTCTTGCGGGCCCTTTTAGAAACTCCATTCCTCAACACAATAGATGTTTGGTGCGATTTTGGAGAATCGTTTTAATCAATTGCATTCTTGCAAAGTGCTCTCAAGCATGCACTAAATCTTTATCAGGTCAAGGGTAGTGTCAGAGAAGTTGAATTTTTAACTTGTTTTTTATACGGTTCATTAATATTTTGCAGGCTCTGCCATATGTTCGCTGTATAGGGGAATCTTGGCCAATGTCAAAAGAGCGAGCCTATTTTGAATCATCAACTTTACTAGAACATGGCAGGCTGTGTCCAGATCATGTTCCCGAGGTGTACCATTTTGACAGGGCAATGTGTTTGATTGGCATGCGCTACATTGAACCGCCTCACATTATCTTAAGGAAAGGGCTAATTTCTGGGATTGAGTATCCATTGCTTGCGGAACATGTATCTGAGTATATGTCAAGGACACTGTTCTATACTTCCCTACTTTATCTGACCACTACAGAACATAAGAGTGCAGGTAGCAATTGTTCTGCTTTGAGATTGTATGATGCATGTAATTCTAAGTACATCATTTTGTTGCAATCTCGATATTCAAAGTTTCATTTGATGGTCATTTCACATTGTTCTTTGTAACTATGACATGTTTATGGAAGGCCTTACTGTTTAAGTCTCTGATGAGCTAATTCTATTGGTGATAGTTTCAAGTACAGCCTCTTAGACTTTGTCTAGCTACAATATGATTCCATAAGCTTACAAAATTACCATTTAGGCTTGTTATTCTGGAAAGACAGTGCAATTTGGCTGCATCTTTATTCCCTTCACTTTTCTGTATATTTTTATGTGAGTTTGAGATAGGGGTTTTTCTAAATGCCTGGTCATATTTTCTAATTGGCATGTCATTATTTTGCAGTTGCTAAATATTGTGGGAATGTGGAGTTATGCAGACTTACTGAACAGGTTATCTTTTCGGATCCCTACAAAGTATCTGAGTATAACCGTTGGACAACTCCTTACCTTGATGATGATGCTAAGGCAGTTCGAGAGGACAACATTTTGAAACTTGAAGTTGCTGAGCTAAAATCCAAGTACTGTGCCCTTTTGTTTTATTTTGTTGTCTGGGGTTGATTACAGAAGTCACACTACCTAATTGCAAAGAAATACTACTTCCTTTAATCTTTTTAATTTAAGTTTTGACATCACTGTCCTCCAGAAAATTAATGTATTATGGATTTTTTGGGGGTTTGGGTGGGGGGATTGCATAAGGATAACTTTGTCCATTTTACACATTTGCTAATTTTGGATTTCTGTGTGAAAACAAAAATCAAGTAAGATCAGAGGGCATGTAGGTTAACCTGCGAAATGTGAATTTTCCCTTGAGATTTTTAGTTTCCATTGACATAACAAACGATGTCCTGATATAGTGCATTTTGTGTAATAGAAACAAATATCAAGGGGGTATTTGTGATGGGCAGATCTGAATTTATCCCCTTTGTTTTATGTTTTCGATAATACTTATGCGTTCCTCTTTTTTTGATGTATATGCCAAGTTCAATCACAGCGTTTGGATATCTTCTCTTAACTCAGGTTCTGTGAGAAAACCCAAGCTCTTATACACGGTGATCTCCATACAGGTTCGGTCATGGTTACCAAAGACTCAACTCAACTGATAGATCCTGAATTTTCTTTCTACGCGCCAATGGGATTTGATATTGGAGCTTTTATTGGAAACCTGATTTTAGCTTATTTTTCTCAAGACGGACATGCACACGAGGGGTCTGATCGTAAAGTAATTTTCCATCCCTACATTATATAGCCCTACTTTCTGGTGATGCTTGCTTATAACACATTTATGACACTAGTGAAATTCTTTCTCTTTAATTTTAAATCTTGTTTGCATTGACTTATACAACAGGGGCTTTTGCGTCATTCAAGGGTATAATAAAATGCTTTTTTTTTTTCTTTTTATCAACAATTCTTGTTTTTTTCACTTTTTTATTTTTGGAAATATTTTAATTAAAAATTCCGTACATAGGGAATGCATTTAAACACATATTGCAATTTGTCATTTGTCTGTTAATCTTTTTTTTTTTTTTTTTCAATTTATTATATATTTAACAAAAATTTCACTTGTTATCAGCTGTATAAGGAGTGGATTTTGAAAACAATATCAGATACTTGGAACCTCTTCTACAGAAAGTTTACTGCCCTGTGGGATAAATACCAGGATGGTCCTGGCGAAGCTTATCTTTCAGCAATATATAATAACCCAGAGCTTCAGTTGCTGGTAAAACAGAAATACATGGAAGATCTTCTCCATGATACACTTGGATTTGGGGCTGCAAAAATGATAAGGTTATGGGACTGTCCTCTCATTACTAATTGATTATTTTTTGTATGACAACAATTTATATGGACTCTGTTCATGTTATCTGATAAATGTGCAGTCACCTTGCTCCCACTAACACCGATATGTTAGTTCACTCATTATTGAACAGACACATTTCATTACGTAGCACTTCTTTGGATCAAAATAGTTTTATTTTTTAACATATACTCTCTTACTAAGACCAGCTAGATACTCGCTATGTCCATTCACTGACTACTTAAATTGCGAAATTTGGTGATTGCTTGACTATGAAATATGAATATGCTTATTTGGTTAATTTAATGATTATGGTAACTTACTGGATTATGGAAAATATGCATTGGGAGATGTATTCGTTTAGGATTCTAAAGACTTTTTAAGAGTTTACAAATTGGTGTTTATTTAAATTCTTGAGGTATGCAATTGAGATTTCAAAAAGACTTAACTTAATAATTCATGTGTTATTTAACTTTTTTAACATTGGGAGTTGGTAGGACATTTTAAGATTTACTGAGATTTTAAACAAAAATAAAACATGTCAAATCTCAAATCACACCACCAAAGTGTTTATTTAGGATTTTGAGTGACATTTTAAAACTTTTTAACTAGAATCCTTATCATGCATGCCGGTGGGATTTTTTGTAAGATTTCATTTATGTAATTGTCTTTGAAAACCCTAAAACTGAAGAAGTCCAATCATAAGGCTAAATAAATTGAATACTTAATGACTTTTTAAGACCTTTTTAAATCTCAAATAATATTTTTTTAAATCTCAAATAATACCTCGTGATTTGTCAAGACTTTTTAGGATTTCACACTAAAACACCAGGATTCTTCAAATCTTAAGAAGTCTTTACGAATCCGGAATGAATACATTAGATTTTAGATTTCAAAGGATTCCACTAAAATAGACAAATCTTAAGAAACCTCGGATTTTAAAAAGTCTTAAAATGTCACTCAAATCCCAAACGAATACTTCCTTTATTCGTTCCGATATATTAATTGCAATTTCCCAAATTTCTTGCTGATTAGTGCCCCCATTTAGAATTTGATATTGATAAGCCATATGAGCTAAGTTAGTAGCAAGAACCATGTTAGCCTTCTTCGTGCTAGATGCTGGTTTTAAAACATTCACAAGACTGGTGTATGCATTACTTAGTGTTCTTTGCTGGCTTGGGATGTCATCAAGTGCCATATACATTATGTAATGCAATGTTTGTGTTGATAGGGATAACTACAAAAGCTTCCTGGAGTTTGAAAAAATTGTAGTAATCTTACAAATACAAATACAAATAGCAGTTGGCATTTGTGTTCATTTTTACAAGTTAGTGCCGTATATAGGTGCAAGTTTAGAATTGAAGCATATGCGAAGGCATAGAAAATTCGCACTGGGGATAGTATCTGTTGTAGTTCCATAATTCTACCCTCATGTAGCACTGTGTCCTTAGAGACCCCTTTTGCTACTGATCATTGTTAAATTTTATTAGCGGAAGCTGAAAATCATTTGTAAACTAAGACCACTGATATTCATATTGTTGCTCGATTTTCAGGAGAATAGTGGGTGTTGCTCATGTTGAGGATTTTGAGTCAATCAAGGAGGCTAGCAACCGAGCAGAATGTGAGCGCAAAGCTCTTAACTGTGCTAAGACCCTTCTAAAGGAGAGGAAGAAATTCCACAGCATTGGTGAAGTTGTTTCAGCCATTGAGCAATTTGCCAAATGATTCATATACTTTGAAGTACTCCGAGCTATTTGAACTCCACAAGTTCTAGTTTGTGAGATTTGCGTATGTATTACTTTGAAGGTAATAATGTATATGATTGTCTTGATGATCGTATTCGAGAGAATATTTGGCACGGCCACTTTTTGTGGTCGGCCATTCTTGTGGTTCTACATTTTTATGCTAATCTATGCACGTTGGTGTGTGAAATGCACATTCCGGTTTGCATTTGTTTGCCCTTGTAGTGGTTTCCTCCAAATTGCGCCAATCCTTTCATTACTTGGCCTTTTTATCGTTGGCGTTAATATTGAATTGGGAAACTATAGGAGACATGCCCCTGTTATTGGTGAAAAAGTTTGTATTTCCTTATCATGTTTTATCATTTGTTTACCATATATTTTCTCCACTTGAAACAAATAATCTTGACTTTACTCCACATTCATGATTATTTTTTAGGATAATGTAGGAAATGACCATTATAACCCTTTTAGGAGGAAATGTGTTTCATGTTCAATCCAAGCAGATGAAGATTGATTTTCGTTCAATTTCTTCATTTGGTTTAGGACGGCACGAGGAGGAAGAAGATCGACATTTTGGGGGTAACTGGGGTTCAAAATTGAACGAAGAATCGTATTTGCAAACATCAAATAATTAGAGCAAGAATCATTTTTGTTTAACAGCATAACCTATTACATTTATGTTACTTTGAACAATCTCCAAGTAATAAGGTGAAGGCCTTCTATATGCCTCATTGTGGGTTAATATTTAAGAACTAGTACAACACCCACGTTTTACACGGGTGTTTGCTAATTTTTTTTCTTAAAATTTAAAATTAATGAGAAAAAGTAGTTTGAAAATTTAAATACCTTTTATAAGAATAAATATATTATTATATATTTATTATGATACTTTTTATTTGTGCGACTTACTTGTGTTATATTATACTAATTTTTTAACTTACACTATATAACTACATTAAATATAAATATATCAATTGAGAAATAATTTTATTTTTCTAATGAATTTTAAAAATATTATTATTTGTAACATCCCGACTTTTTAATACTATCAGAGTACGCATTTTTCGCAATTTTTCTGAATAAATAAATAAAATATTTATTTTGCAAAAACTGATTCGGGATGCTACCGTGAAAACTTGACTTTTCTGAAAACCGTTAAATTTTAAACTGAATAAATAAACGGTTATAATATATTAACCGACTAAAGTCGGATCAAAAACTGATTAAAAGTACTGAAAGTTTAGCGGAATAAAAGCGTGGCAAAACACATATATACATATCCACAAAATATCCTGAACTGCCCGCCAGCTCACTCCTCGTCTCCGACCCTGCGACCTGAAAAACATGAAATGCGTGGGGGCGTGAGCACTAAAACACTTGTGCTCCGCAGAAACTCATACTAATGTAAACATTGAAAATAATAACAATATCATGATCTTAGTATATATAACTGAACTGAAACTTAAACTGAAACTGATATCTGATACCGGTCTGATCTCGCGACATAAGTCACGTAAGTGATAACTGAACATCTGTCGGCACAAACTAATACCGAAATCTGTCGGCACAAACTAATACCGGACCATGTGCACATTCTAGTGGGCAGATTAGGCCACTAGAACCCAGAATGGACCGGCGACCATTCCGAGCGGATACTGAATATACATACCTCAAACATGGTAGCGTAATTATAATCAATGTAGTACTTAGTCTGAATCCCCACCTGAACTGCTGAAACTGAAGGTAGTGCTGATGCCTGATCAAACTGAAAATAATATAAACAATTACTACTGACTATGCTCAGACTGATAAATTAACTGATTAATTATGTTAAGATGCTCTACTGAACCTGACATGATATACCGACTTAATCGATATAACTGAAACCGGTTAAGTACGAAACTGAACTGATATTAATTAACTGTACTGAACTGAACCCGGAATTTTAACTGAAAATGACACTGAAATTGAGAACTGGGACTGAAACTGACAAATACTGACTGAACCGGTCCAGCCGGTCTGAACCGGACTGCCGGTCCGCTGAACCGGGCAGTCGTGTGCTGGCTCGGCCGGCGGCCTGCCAGGTGCTACGCACACGGGCGCTGCCTGGCAGTTGCGGGCACAGACTAGTGGACTGGCTGGCTGGGCGATCCTGGCA